GTCTTGATCAACGCTACTTAGCCTATGGCGAAACACGGGGTCTTCGGTCCACTAGCAGATACATAGATACAGTCCAAGTAAGCCTCGGAGAATAACAAGTCCCGATTATCAACGATAATGTCTGTTTATTTGTTTGTTATTCAACACCACACTCGGCAATATTCCAGCTATATGACGGCGTCTGTAAATAATTGAGTCTGGACCAGACAATCCATTGATAAGCAGCATGAGCATCGACCTGCGCAATTGTGATACGATAATATGGGTCAACCAAGTCAGCGAGCCTGATCACCCAACCCAACACAATCAGTGTCCGTATTTTGTCTTGAGCCTTCTGATCCCGTCTTTATTTATTGTTCAGGTATACAATTGACTTGCCTTTGAATGTGTTTGTGACGATTGTCACCGATGAGGTAGGATAATATTACTGTCACCTTTTCACGAGCACCTGGAATAACGGTGTTTGTTTGTAATTCTTTCAAAATGCCAACGATATAGCTCGACACAATCGATTGTGCTTTTAGTAGATAAAATGGAAAATATTCTCAACAGTTATTTCAAATCCACGTTTCACTAGCATATCATCTTATCCTCATTATTGAGTTGTAAACTTATGTGTATATCGAAGGTATTTTCAAAAATATGTTTAAAGACAGATACTTGCACCTGAACTTAACCAAGTCAAATCCAATCCCCAAACCACGCAGAGGACTGCGGTTTTGCACGGGAGATATGTTAGATATGGAGTGTTAAGAAAAACGTCAAAAGAAATGCCCAGATTAACAAAAGAACAGTGTGATAGGGGCCATAGGAATGTTGCCAGTGGGGTAGCACAGACCTGTATGTGGAGCAAGAACATTGAATTGCTTCCGTAATACTGCAACTTGGTTCAGCTATTCAGAATAACAGGTCTGACAACAGACAGGCCAAACACAGGCAGACCAAGGATGAACACGCCCCCTGAAGCATCATCGTGCGTAACAGATTCTTGCCTGTGATGTCTGTTGTCGTCAAAGAGGAGAACGTACTGCCCGTTGTTGCGTCTCTAAGACCTCGTACCTTTGGTGTGTGTGTGTGTGTGTGCGGGGGCATTTGCGAGTGACGAGAGAACGCCATTGGTCATCAGTGATGGTAACGTGAATGCCGTACGCTACAGAGATGAGGTCCTCCACCGTCGTGGTTCATGGGTTACCCTGGCCAGCTAGACCTTTATTCCACAGAGTACCAATGGGATATCATGGACAGACAAATTTGACGGCGACAACAACCTTACGTGACGCATTTCACGTGACGTCATCAGGAGACTGACGAATTCAGAACGTAGGAGTTTGCCTGCCTTCAAGCCAATGGAGGTCACACTCGCTACTAGGGTGACACATAACACCATGAGGGAGTTGTTCCAGCATGACAACGCTACTTCACATACAGCACGCGTCACGGTTCGACGGTTCGCTAACTTGCCAATTCGAACGTCATTGTCTTGCCATGGCCTTCCCGATCACCAGATCTAAACCCGATAGAACACCTATGGGATGAACTCGATGGACGTGTACGTCAACGTCAAAACACGCCTCAGGCACTTATACAACTGGTCATCGCATTGCAAGAGTGGGAAGAATTCCGCAAGAGCAACTTCGTGGACTTATCCAGTCTGTGCCGAGACGGTGCCATATGGTGTATGCTCTATGGTCATACAAAGTACTGACTTTGACGCCATCTTGTTGACTCAAGCAAACAGAAAAACAACAATAAAGGCTGCTGTTGTGGTGGCGAACACTTTGTCTATAGACGTGTGAATTTTCACCTTTTACCATTGAAATTACATGAAATAATTGTTCTTAAACTAACGCAATAAATTCTTCTAAAAAATTGCCTATGCGTTTCTTTTTATGAAGAGTGTAATAGCCGCTACCGAGCGAGTGAAATAGGGTCATACATAAAATGTCAGTTTTGAACACTGCCAGCACGTTACTCAAGTGTTTTGAACAGAGGTTAACTCGGATGGAAGCGAGCAATGGACTCGTCGCAACACAGCGAGGGACACTCACATACACTGGTACTTGCTCAGTGCGGGTGCAAAGAATGACTCGTATATCGCGATATCGGCGATCGGTTGATCGGAGCGAGTTTTCTTCACAGGAAATTGGACATCCGATACCCAGGCTTGAAGACAAGTGCATTTTGGTAAAATGCATATGTTTACATTGCAATTTATTGTGATCTGTAACAAGATATCACACAGAAATCATTGACAATCAATGAAGTGGATCCGGTAAAGCGGTATTTTTCACTGCAGTGGCATTAACCACAGACAAGCTTTGACCTTTTTCTTTTGCCATCTGGCATATATACTTTGTGTTCTAAATGTAACATATGTTAAAAGAGCACAGTCCCCTAATTTGGGACATGGAATATTCTCTATGCATTGAGATATACTATGCAGATATATATTCTCAACCACAAATAATGACAAGTACCATTCAGTGTGAACATACATTTTATTCATTCAAAGTGAATGGGTAAGATTATGCTGTGTTCTACACATGTACCTGTTAACCATTTCCTCAAAACTGGCGATATGGCATTACAAAACATCCATTTGTCTAAAAAGAATGCATTTGCTTAACAATTTGCAGAAAATAAAACTTTGAACAATATCAAAGTCCTAATGTAAAAGGTGAAAAACAGTCCTAATGTACTAATATCCAGGTATTTGTATACCAAACTGCATTAAGTTTAACTGCAAAGTAAGGTTTTGTTACCGGCGACAGTAACATTTCAAATTGACCTATTACTGTAGCTGTAACAAATATACTTATGGGGTTATTGGACTGTTTATGGATGGATGTTGGCCAGGGGTGGTACCATTAATCCAACCATACTGATAATAACATTTGCTAATGAAGTTTAAGAGAAGCATGGCGGCGACAGCATTGCACCCAGTAATTGAGAATGAGTGCACGCGTTTTGAAGATCTATTTTGTGTTCCAAGTACTTTTCATTTTATGCCCATTTTATGTGCATTAATGGGTGATAACAAAATTAAAATAATTATATGAATAGCTTCAAATTTAAAAACCAACTTGTTTATATAGAAGAAGTCAACTTCAAACTGAAACTTTGTGCTTACATTTCACTTCACAGGGCAAATTTATGTCCCTTCATGTATTTTCAGCGTGTATACTTTTAAAATTCAACCTTGGGTATAGCAGCAAGGTTAAATGGAAGTTCAAACACCTGGTAGATACAGCGTTTACAAAGCCATGTTGGGAGTCTCACAAATGCTTATATAACCTTTGGCTAAATTTGTTCAATATGAATGTCTATTTAGTTTGAGAAAATGCTAACAGAGGCCTCCTCTGCCCAAGATGTCTGATACAAATTCAGCTGACTTAGTTTTAGGGCGGATTAAATATCATATTCCAGCAATGTCGAAGCGGGGACACTGGAAATGGGCTTCACACATTATATCCATGTGGGGATTCGAACACGGGTCTTATAACGAGCAAACGCTTTTACCACTAAGCTACCCCTCCCCTACGGCTACAGTCTTGTCCCCACCTGTAATTACAGGCTATGGAACGCCTCCCGAGGGTAAGTTTGAGAAATGGGGTCACATGTTGCGGTCATGATTATTGTGATTATTGCCGAGTGACTGCAGGATGACAATTATACCATCTTACGTCTTTCACTCTGTCAACTAGACCACTGAATTGATCCAATTGCACAGCAATAATAACACAGTGAATTTATTAACAGAGGTCCGTCGGAGGGCGTTGTGGGAATACTGGCGCGGAGACTTCTATATATCGAATTGGGTACAAGTCATTAACTATTTCGTTCGTTGCGTTTACTAAAATGGACAGTGGAATTTTTAACGTACGTAAACAGGCAGACTCCAAGATATAAATGTTCATATTTTCTTAAACACAGTCATTTCTTCAATCTATTTCCGTCCTTTGTACAATGTAATGTCGCTAAAGATGTTTGGTTGAATTGGTTGGTTTGTTGTTTAACGCGGCACTCGGCAATATTCCAGCTATATGGAGGTGGTCTGTTAATAATCAAGTCTGGGCTAAAACAATCCAGTGATCAACAGTATGAGCATCGATCTACACCAATCGGGATACGGTGACATGTGTCAAACAAGTCAGGAAGCCTGACCACCCAAACACGTTAGTCGCCTTTCGACAAGCATGGGTTACTGAAGATCAATTCTAACCCGGTTCTTCACGGGGAGGCAAGCATGGGTTACTGAAGATCGAATTCTAACCCGGATCTTCCACGGGTATGAACTCAAATGTAGATCACGATGCATGAAGTTGGAAACAACTGAATGTATTTCAGTGACATTTTCAGTCACACACTTTGAGTTTTCAGTGCTTTGACCATAGATAATATAATTGTATAATTTCAGTTTGAGTTCATTTTCCTCTGGAACATTGTGGTCGACATTGGAGCGATTACTTATAACACATTCACTCCCCTAACAAAATTACACATGGATCGAAATACGTTTTATAGAAAGGAAGGTCAAGGTTTCGGCTTCAACGTCGCCGCAGTTTACAAAAGCGGCGGACTATTAAGCACGAAATAGCACAAAATCACCGTATCTTTGTCAGTATTCGCTACAAGTTATACTCCAAATGAAGAAATATACCAGCCATAATCCTGTAAAATCATAATTTGGACTGGACAGACTCCGGCAGGTACGATAAAACGCAAGATACCAACGCCTGGCCGCCATTGCGATAAGTCGCCTCTTACGTCAATGATGGGCTCACTGGAGTAGAAGTGAGTGGATATGGTTTCATGCCACTTTAAGCTATTTTCCAGCAATATCACTACGAGGGAACACCAAAATGGGCGTCACACATTGTTGCCCATATGAGGAATCGAACCCGGGCCTCCAGAGTGACGAGAAAGCGCTTTAACCACTAGGCGGGAATGGGTGGAACTCCTTAAACAATAATAACATACAGGTAAAAGTTGTTTTTATCTGCAGATATGTTTATTGCTTCAGTTAATCCATTTGACAGGATGTCTTAGTGGAACTACCATCGCCGTTTCAGATACCTGAAAACAAAATCAAAGATGATTACACAAGTTGACAAATCAGTTGAAGTCTTAAGTTTTTGTTGCTGTTGTTGTTGTTTAACACCGCACTCAGCAAAATTTACAGCTATATCGCGGAGATCTGTAAATAATCCACAGATCAACAGCATGAACATCGATCACACGAAATTAGGATACCATGACGTACGTTAACCAAGTCAGTGAACCTGACCACCCGATTCCGTTAGTCGCCTCTTACGAGAAGCATGGGTTGCTGAAGACCAGTTCTATCGGATCTTCACTTTCTCAGCCTTAATGCATATTCTGTCACTATAACATATTTACTGCATGTGCTGAGCTGTCGAAATACATTGCTTGAAAGCCAGAAACCAGATGTAGAAATGTAAAACACAGACACGGTGAAATTGTTTACGATAACAAAACGTTGATTATTGGGACATCAATGCACTTGTTACACTGTGAGCTGGAGCACTATGTCTGAAAAGTCTAGATACCGAATTTCTTCCTCTCGTTCTCGACACACAGCTTTGATTGTTTCCCTGCAGATCTTTTGTTACCTCTGGAAGTAAAACAAAGTGAGTAAGTCAGGTGTACTGCCACAATACGTCACTGGGCTTAACATATGAAGGTCACGGCGGTGCGCTAGCCAAGGGGCCATTTGTGTACTCTCAAAACCCTTGTGTTGCATCTGAAAGGGAACATGTATTCCGATCACTTCAGCAGGACAATCCGATTGAACATTAATTTTTGTAATGTTTTATGGTCTCACCAGAATGAATTCAACGTATGTAAAGCTTGCGATCCTGATAATTTGATCGTTCAGAGAGTGTAGCGAGCACTTGTGTCGTATATTTCAAAACTTGTGCAGCATATTTCAAAACTAGCCTGAGTGGTTAATGCGTTCGCTCGTCACGCTGAAGACCCGAGTTCGATTGCCCACATGGGTACAATGCGTGAAGCCCATTTCTGGTTGACCCGCCGTGATATTGCTGGAATTGCTATAAGCGGTGTAAAATAGAAATCACTCACTTTAACAACATTAACCCTGTTCCAAAAGGCAACTCATGTAAAACCTATGGACATGCATGTAACTTTTACTATCATTAAGTGCATAGACTCTTGTATGGTCGACAGACCACAGATTATTACTGTAACTTACACTCGCTCTTCAGGTACCTGTAGAGCCAGTGGTGTTCCACAGGGTTGTGTTCTTCCTCCTGTCTTGTTTATTTGCTATGCACAAATGACTGCAGTTGAACATATAACAGCTATCTTACGATTAGTTGATGATGCAGCTCTAGCCAGTTTATATTAAGATTTAGAACTTAGAATACAAAGCGGAAATGGGTTTGTTTTACAATAATTTTCTCTGACGTGAAACGTTTTCCGAATGTATCGTGCCTGGAACATTCGAGTTTCATACAACGTGTTTCATTATCTTGACTATTACATTAGAAAGAAGTAAGCATAGTCAGTTTATGGCCTACCTTGTCTCACTTCAGGGGAGACGGGGATATCCCTGGCATCGACATCTACCATCGTAGGCGCAAAAATCTCTGCCAAGTGTATGAGTACAGTTATGTCAATTGAACAAATAGTACAGTAACACCAGCTGAAAACAATACAGATCTATTTGCTGAGCACCAGCTGAGAACATAGTACAGTTATATCAACTGAACGCATGGTTTACAGTTATATCAGGTGATCACATATGATGATATAGAGGATATTATATGAGTGCCCATGTCAAACTATGTTTTACGACACGAGTGCCTAAATGTTGGTGTTATATACCGAGGGATATACCGATATTTAGGCACGCGTGTCGTAAACATAGTATGATTTGGGCACGAACATAACATCCTGTTTAGTACCGAAGATGTCAGCTGAGAGAAAATACACCTAAATCTACTTTCAAACATAGGCTAGCTACCTCCAGTCGCCTGTGTAGAACGGAACGTCATAGAAGAAACGTGACGCCATAGCATTGTTCATGACGTCACGTTACCACGACAAAGTTATATTTTGCCCTAAGGCATTGTATGAAATGTATGAACCCCGATATTTTCACCCTCGTAGGTAATAAAAGTGCAGTAATATCAACTGGACGAATACCACAGTTATATCAGCTAAACACACAGTACAGTTATATCAGCTGAACACACAGTACAGTTATATCAGCTCAACACATAGTACAGTTATATCCGCTGAACACAGTACAGTTATATCAGCTGAACACACGAGTACAGCTATATCAGCTGAACACATAGTGCAGTTATATCAGCTAAACACATAGTACAGTTATATCACCTAAACACACAGTACAGTTATATCAGCTGAACACACAGTACAGTTATATCAGCTCAACACATAGTACAGTTATATCCGCTGAACACAGTACAGTTATATCAGCTGAACACACAGTACAGCTATATCAGCTGAACACACATAGTGCAGTTATATCAGCTAAACACATAGTACGAGTTATATCAGCTCAACACGCAGTACAGTTATATCAGCTAAACACACAGTACAGTTATATCCGCTGAACACATAGTACAGTTATATCAGCTAAACACATAGGTACAGTTATATCAGTTGAACACATAGTACAGTGATATCAGCTCAGCACATAGTACAGTGATATCAGCTCAACACATAGTACAGTTATATCAGCTAAACACACAGTGCAGTTATATCAGCTGAACACATAGTACAGTGACATCAGCTCAACACATAGTACAGATATATCAGCTAAAACAGACACCGGTACAGTTATATCCACTGAAAACATAGTACAGCTTATATCCGCTAAACACACACAGTGCAGTTATATCAGCTAAACACATAGTACAGTTATATTAGCCTAACACATAGTTCAGTTTTATCCACTAGACCCATTACAGTTATATCAGCTGAACACATAGTACAATTATATCAGCTGAACACATACTGCAGTTATATACTAAGCAGCAAGAGAAACGTCTGTCCCCAGACAGTGGGGAACACACGGAAGACCAATCAATACTGAAACAGTACGCCGACGTCTTTTAACAGCGGGAACCCCCATGCCGTGCCTTACCGTGGACCTATCCTTACCCTTCGTCATCGGCGTGAACGTCTACAGTTTGCCCTACAACACCAAAACTGGCGATACAGGCAATGGAGAACTGTTCTGTTCACAGATGAGAGTCGGTACTGCGTATCAACTGCAGATGGCAGAACAAGAATATGGCGACGACGTGGCCAGCGTTACTCAGACCAATGTGTTATGGAAAGAGACTCATGGGGAGGTGCAAGAATAGGCCTGAACCAGAGAGTGGGTCCTGTGGTGTTCCAGAACCTTGGTGCAGGAGAGGAGGCGGCATCACAGCGGTGCGCTACATCTACCAAGCTCTCAGAGCCCAGGTCATACCACATTTCGTATGTCACCGGAACAACATTTTCCAGCATGATAACGCCCGGGTCCATACTGCCAGAGCTTCACGGGACTTCCTACAGCAGAACGGTGTCAACATTATGAAGTGGCCAGCCCTTAGTCCTGATTTAAACCCAATTGAACATCTTTGGGATGAAATTCAGAGGAGACTGAATAATGTCATACCAAGGCCGAACACAGCCGATTTATTGCGCCAGGCCTTTCTCAGAGTGTGGTTCCAGGTGTCAATGGCCTTCATTAATCGATTGGTGCACTCCATGCATAGACGTTGTGCTGCAGTTATTGCCGCTCGTGGTGGTCACACTAGATACTGAAGTCAAGAGTCTGAATGGAATCTGCAAACGTTCACGTAATGTCTTGGAATTGTGCTGAGTTATTCATTGATGTGTCAGGATATTGTACACATAAAATGTTTTCATCCGCTTATTATGTCCATTTCTGTAATGATTTGATTACAGTGTCTATCTAATTTTGAATTCGTGCTGACATTTTTTTGGCTGATGAGTATATATCAGCTGAGAACGCAGTACAGCATATCAGCTGAACACAAAGTGTTGACACTGGGATGATGTTTGTGTATATCTCACCTGAAACTTCCCCATATATGCTGATAAGGACATGGACTGAATCCAACGTTTGGAAGAGAATATTGTACAATTATTTCACCTGAACACAAAGTACAGTTATATATTAGCTCATCACGTAGTACAGTTATATCAGCTAAGCACATAGTACAGTTATATGAGCTGAACACAGTACAATTATTTCACCTGAACACAAAGTACAGTTATATCAGCAGAACAGTGTACGGTTATATGCGCTGGACAGAGTACAGTTATATAAGCAGAACACCTAGTGGGGAGGGTTTTATTAAAAAGAAAGAAAGATATAAGATAAGAAAGAAAAACAAATAAATAAAGAAAAGACAGAAAGAAAAAGAAAGAACAAAGGAAAAAATTGTTCCAAAATCAAGTACACAAAGTACACATAGACATATGCAAGCAGGTGTACATTGCAGATACAACTGGGCTCTCAAATAGATACCGTAAAGTATCAAAAGTTATCAAAGGTCATCAGGTTCAAATACTGGGAATAATGGGAGACCATTTTTGAAAGAATATATCAAAGTCATTATTTCTTTTGGAAATAAAACTTTCAACCTTGAATGTATCTGGTAAAAACTTTAAGAAACTATCCAATTTTGGGTACATTTTTTGGTGCAATTGTAAATGTGTCTTTTAGCAGAGAGGATTATTTGATTTAATAGTGGGTGTTTTTCTAAAATCACATACCAAACAAGGAATTTTGTCAGTTGCAGTTGCTGTCTATTTGGTTAATCCAATTTTGAAGGTGATTCCAAAACGTTTTGGCTCTATCACATTCCCAATATGCATGGCATACGTTCTCATACACATCTTTACAGAAAGAGCATAATGCATTGTCAACTAATTTCTTTTTTTAGTATAAATAATTCCATGTAGGAATTTATATTGAAAGTCTGGGAGTTTAATGTCCCTGAAATCCTTATTATAATTAATAAAAGTCTTATGCCATTCAAAATCAATGTCATCAAAACGGTTTTCCATTTCCCATTTGTGACATATAAATGGTTTAACACTGTCAGATACCATTTTATTATAAACATTCCTTGAATCCTTTGCTGGAGTAAGAAAACCCTTTGTAGAGTAGTTAATTACTGACTGACTGACTGAGTTTAGTTTTACGCCGCTTTTAGCAATATGCCAGCAACATCACGGCGGAAACACCCAGGAATGGGCTTCAAAGAGAAATTAATGAGATCATTGCAATGTAAATGTCTATATCCTTCTAAGTTGTTTTTTCCACGGTTCAGGTAAAATGTGTAAAACATATCTAAGATATACCCCTTACATCATATTTATTTTCAAGTCTCCCAAAGAGAACAAACCTATTCATTATATAAATCTCTCTGATGATTAACATCCCTTCATTAGCCCAGTGTCTAATAGTGTTATTTGGGTAATTAAAGCTATGACTGGAGCCATATGGGTTGAGCTATGATTTCAGTAATGTTATCAGGTTCTATGGTATTTTCGTTACAGCATAGTTTCCAGGCCTTAAGAACATCCTTTCAAATAGGATTTTCAGCCCCGGCAATATCCTGAAAATATGGACCATAATTCTAGTATATCCTTCAAAATGGAAAAATGCATTAATTATTTAAGTTTGATTTTGTCATGTAACGTCTGAGTGTAGACAATTTCATGGCATTAACAAAGGCTTCAATGTCAACCACGCGCAGACTCTACTGAACTGGGGTGGAACTAAATTTATATAGCTTATGCGAAGTTAAACAATAGACAAAACAAACCTATCAGGCTGTATGGAATCGATTTCCGTAGATGCACGTTATTTTCTGGATTGATTTATGTTTATGTCATCATAAAACAAGTGTCCCACTGAGTTGTGCATGTTTCGCAGTTTTTAAATATCACCATATCAAACTGGTTGATCAGGATGTCAAAGGCAGCTGTCATTGTTGATTCCGGCTTGACATTTGTTACACAACTATAATGTCCAATTTGTATTTTTACTGTGTTTTCGGGAACACGTATCACCTGTATCTGTAAACGTTTCACGCGTTCATCCCGGATGACAAACGTCAGCTGTCAATGGGGATTCCTGGCGCACGGTTGTGTCAAATGCGCAATTTCTAGTTGACACCATGTTAAAATGTCATCGAATCATTTTATTAATATTAATATTAATGCAGTATTACTGGTACACATGCCGGATGCATGTTGCCTTCACACATTTTACTAAGGACGGTTTGCTTGATCTTCTTGTATAACTTCAAAATAACAATATTCCAAAGTCAACATTCTGTCTTGCAATATTCCAGCGACTCCGGTCATTTGTATCCACATTTATACACAACTTTGCAGGAACCCTGAGCATGGATGTCATCCCAAGATTCAAAGACGTTGGTTCACAAGCTGCTCGATACATTTAATGTCCAAGTAAAGTTTTCAAAACGTTTTATGGTCATAAGTAAAAAGAATTATGGTTTCTTTGCAACGCAGTGCTGGGTCACCGTAAAAGATCGTTTTGACTTAAGT